ATACCTAACTAATAAATTAAGATTTTGAACAAATACTTATATCATTTCTCACATATTAATATAGATATATTTACATTTTGAAAATAGAACAATCCAAATTTAAAATCATTAGATTAAAAAAAAAAGGCAAATATTGGCAAATACATCTCTTATTCAATTCAATATATATATGCCTTTTTATTATTATCACTATATATAGTCACGAGCGTCTTTCCTAATCAGTCATCGGCCGCCTCTGTCACGGATGGCCGGCGCCCCTATTGGACGGCTACGATCACGTGTCATCGTTGGCGCGACGGTGACCTTGAGTGACCTTGAGTAATGATTCCCGCATGGGGAACTTTTTTCTGAGTCAATAAAAAAAAATCCAATGGCCTCCGATTCTTGCAAAAGTACAACCCCACCAGCGAGTGCAAGTAACCAAACGGGGTTCTGGCATATTTGTAAGTGCAAAGTCGAACTGTTTTTCACATGTGTAAATATGTGGGGCACTTACAGTAAAAGCAGTCGCCTTCTTCTCCCCACCATGATTATCATGGCCTGTACCACGTGTACTAGGGATTGGCAAAAAAAAAAGATAACAGTCGTAGGATTTTCAAAGAGAATTTTACATCACTGGATATGCGTGTTGGCTTCATCTTAAAAAAAAAAAAAAAATTCAGAAAATAATGTAAATGCTGAGGGTTCTTTTTACTGATCCATCACTTGGGGATTTGTTTGCTGAAGATGTTTCATAATTAGAAAGTAAGGGCATATTTTCGGACAGTTATCATATGTTGTTGCTTATTCCTCAAGTCGTTTAAACGATCTCCATTAGGTTCCATTGTTTCATCTTTTCTATTATAGTCCTGAGGTTTTCCCAGTGGTCTTTTTTTGAAGGATACAATTCAATAGATGTTCAGGACTGACTGGTTAGGAATCGCATTTGGGGCATTTCGGGAATGTTTTGATTTTCCATTAAATTTGAGCATTCTAAGATGTCCTGTTCGTAATATTGAAATCGCCGTTTGTTCTTCCAGTTATCATATACCTCTGCTATTTGGAAGGTTTAAAACTGGCCGATCTTGCTTCACTAGATACTGTCAAGGCATATGCAACAAGTCACGTAGTCTGTAATTTAGCCAAAATAATAATATATAAGATAGTATAAACACTAGGGGATGTACCCGGCTTCGCCCAGGTTTAAACCTGAGTGAGTTTTCCTAACGAATATTTGATTAAAAAAAAAAATTAGAGCAAACATTCACTCTATACTATATCACACACACAAAAGCCTCTATTAGGAACTTGTCACATACAGATTCTCCCAATTGGGTAAGGTAATAATCATCTTGTGTTATTTACATAGAAATTGAAATGGCTTTAATCTTTGTCTCAAAGTCATTCACTTGTTGACTAGTCCTTACATAATGATGATCTAAAAAATTATAATAAGCTATTGCCTTAGATTTATTTGCTGATATTTTTGAAAACAATACGTAGGGTGAAGTGTTGGTACATTTAATTTGTTGATATTGGGCCTTCCTCTCTGCATCAAGGGCTGTATAATTAAGCAGGTAATGGGGGAGTTACTCTCTACTGAATCGATTTTTTTATAAAGATATATAAATAAATATTGACTCTATAGAGAGATATATACTCACTACTGATTTGAAAATTTTCCCCGAAATAATTTTGTTTCTGACAATCTCAAGCATGATACAGCAATATTGTCATCATCATTTTCAGAATTAAAAAAAAAAACTATTTTCACCCAATACTTGGTCAATTTTTATTTATATTGGCTAAAAATGCGACAATAAACTCTTCCAGATTTATTTCTATATCCTGTTTTAAAATTTCAGTCAGATTAGGTACTTATTGAGGACGTATATAGCCGACAAACATATATATACTGACTTTTGGCTGGAATTTGCATATTACTTGATGTTAAATTATTGAGTTTATTTTGTATTTGTATATTAGCTAGTCTCACTATATATATGTAGTGAGATTAGCTAATATGCAAATACAAAATCAACTTGATAATTTAACATCAAGTAATATGCAAATTCCAACCAAGATATATGTGTATATATTTTTTTGATAAAGGTTGGCGTTCAGCCAACTGAAATATTGGTAAAATATATTTTTTGACCCAATATATGCCTTTTTATTTATATATTTATATGTATATATATAAATTTAGTTAGTATCTAACGGCATTTCATCATTGTCCATTTTTGTACTCCTGTATAAGAGCGGTAATGCCTGAAATCTTGAGATTGCAATAAAAATAAAACTTATCTCCAGAAACCTGTTGCATTATTTAATTCATATATAGGTATTTTATATCTATTGAATATTTACATATACAATATATTTATTAAACATTTCGTCATACAGCAGATCCTTCCGTATGATCAGATAAAATGAAAGAAAGTAAAGAATTTAGCAAATCTCTGCGATAAGTCCTCTTGACGAATTCCAGAAATACATAGGTCTATCAGAAACACCAAATTGTTCCTGCGAAGAAACAGAACAAATTGCTTTTCACCTTATCTATAACTGTCCGAACTTTACAGAAGTGAGACATCGTTTGTTCCCTTATCTAAATGATTTAACTTTCTTACATCAGCCACTTTGTCTATATAAATTTTATAAACTCTGTCGAATAATACATGTAAATTTGTAAATATTTAATTCTAAGTTCTAATTTGTTTATTCCCTCTGTAATAAAGCGCAAGTATTTCAATATCGCGTCTGGTTGATTCATAAATTTAAAAAATATATATTCTATTATTGCAGTAAGGCATTTTAAAATGGGCATTTTAAAAGGCATTTTTGTGTCTGTAAGAATAATTTTTTCATTTTTTTTAAATAGATAAAAATATTTAAATATTATATAGATAATATCACATAAATATTAAAATAAATTAATCTGTTGTACATAGGTGGCGTCTTATACTGTCTTGTACAAAGGAAGGAATACGAACTTACCCACAACTTGTTCCATGCTCCTAGCTGGCTTATGCCTTTCGATTGGAGTCTTCCTTTTGATGCCTATCAACTGTGTGAGATTTATAACCCAAGTTCTTCTGAAGTACCACGACACCTATGCAAATCTTCTCAAATATTTGTCATGTCATTTCTAAGAATTGATAGAACCACAGAGTAAGTTTGGCAGAGAGATAAGGAAAACTTGTTCATTTTAAATAATTTCGAGTTGGGTACAGAGAGATAGGAGAGAGTGTTCTTCATTTCACAACTTGATTTTTTTGTGAAAGAACTTCTTCAGGTTCCGAATTGAAAAGTGAATAATTAAGATTTTTTTTTGCATATTTACATAATTTGCATAAGTCTATTTGAAAAGAGCATTTTTTATTCCTAATCATTACTTTCGATAAAGGTACATTCTTCAGCGGCCTCGACACTAAAACGTAAGTTGAGCTTTTTTTCTTTTTTCCCAACATACTATAGTAGTAACACAGGTAACCTAGGCTCCTGGAACGTATCCTTAGATTGCCAACTAAAGACACTATAATAATTTAAAACCCCATCCAATGAATTGGCAAAATGCCTCATGGTCAAAAAAAAAAAAAAAATCACAATTATAATATCATTGTCCCCTTTTCCCTATTTGGCTATATCTTTGAAAATGAAACAAAACCTTTTAAGTTTTGAATTCATTATGATAAGTTTGTACATTCCAGCATTCTAACTAATCATGTGGCAACGTACTTAACAGTATTTCCAGGCTCGATTCTTTCAACCAATCCGCAACAAGGTGACATTTGACACAAGAAGTCCTGTGATGACATTGTTCTATCCAAAAGTATTTGATACAGTAGAACCTCCATGAGGACACTCGCGTTAGAGGACACCTCTCAACAAAGGACAGTTTTCATTTGCAAAATTACAATTTTTACTATTTATCAACTCTCTGGTAAGAGGATATCTCTCCACAAAGGATTTTCACATTTGCAGAAAATTTCAATTTTTACTATTTATCAACCCTACGGTAAGAGGACACCTCTCCCTAAAGGACACTTTGGCTTTGAAGCTAGGTGTTGTCCTTTACAGGGAGGTTCTACTGTATTTGAATTTTGCACAATATATCCTATGGCGATACAATTGAAAACTTCCTCAAATCGAGTTTCACGCGGCATAAGGAACTCCAAAGAATTCCTAAGTGAAGAGGTAATGAATGCTACTGTAATTCGAATCTACGTATAGGCTCAGGATAGCAATAAATGAAAATGCAGAAACAATATCTACCATACCTGCTCAATGTAGAAATTAAGCTGGGAAAGAGCCTTTTCAACATTTCTAATCATATCAGTGCGATTTTTCGAATCTATCAAATGCATATCTGTGCATTTTAAGAATCTTCTTATTTCTTATATTCTTTCAATCATATTAGGGTATCAAGCTTGTAGAGCTTGTTGATGGTGTCTGCTGGGGATGAGTATTTTAAGAGTAATTTCTTTTTCTTCTTTCTTATCTCTGAAGTAGAATGTGTCTGCTTAAGACTGGGAGCACTATGAGAGTAATGTTAATGAACTAGACCGGGGTCGGAAACTTTTTGAGTCAGAAGAGTCAAAAATTGCAATTTACAAAATTTCAAAGTTTTTAAAGAGCCACAATTTTCTTGCCAACAATAAATAGTACTCTCAAAAAGTTTTTATTTATGTGAGTAGTACACGCAGCATCACATCCAAAGAGCCGTGGCTCGCGAGCCGCAGGTTGCTGACCCTTGAACTCGACAAGCGCTGTGGTGATTGGCTAGAATGATGCAAGTAATGCTGACGTGGCATCGTGAATAAGCAGGAAACCACACAACAGACTCTTTAATCTTATTGGCTACTTGTTATCTGGACTAAATCAACCGTATTTGCATAGGTTTGCTTATCTGGATTGTTTATCCTTTAAATTAACGGCGCTTACGGCCATACCACATTTAGTCCAGGGTAGCCTAGTGGACATGGCATCTGCCCGGTAGATAAGCCATAAGCGGAACATAAGCCATACCACATTGAAAACATCAGTTCTCGTCCGATCACCGAAGTTAAGCAATGTCAGGCCTGGTCAGTACTTGGGAGGGTGACCACCTGGTAACACCAGATGTAGCTCTAGGCTATTACCTTATTAAAAAAAAATTTTTTTTTGGGGGCTCGCAAATCTTACAATTTAATTTTAATTATGGTATCATATACTAATGGTAAGTTTTTAAAATTATCTCAAGATTTTACTACTATCTATAAAGTTCGTTAGCTTTGCTGCTGCTTGAATTGTAAGTCCCATGTTTAGACATGTGGGTAAAAATGATAAATAAGGAAAGAAAAGAGGAGCAAGGAGTGAAAATATGGTGACCAACAGTTGTTGTTGTTGTCGTGTCCAATGAAGAGACTCAGATGTCTCCATACATCTCTATCACAACAGTCGCAATGTCCACTATCTTGGGTGTGTAAAGATGCTGTTCTGGGTCTATGTCAATTTTCTGCAAGGCTGCGGCCATTGCTGGGCATGAGAATATGTGGGTAGGTGTTAGTTTCACACCAGGACAGTGGTGACCTACAGTCCGAAAGATGTAAGAATTATCGAGAAAAGTTCATAAACGATATTTGGAATCTTGATAGACTGTATCAAATTTTGCAAAGTGCAGTTGCATGACCAGGAGATGCACTGCGCGAGTCACGTGAAGAGAGAGAGAGCTTTTGCAATCACATCCTGTAACGGTATTAAGAGAAAATCAAGGTTCCTTGGACTCATAATTACAGTATCGTAAAAAAATGACAGCTATTTAGACACTCACTCTTTTGCTCGACTAATTGGCCATTTTAGAATGGTCATCTAGTCAAACCAGCTATTTGGACAAATTTGTCTATTCGTGTGGTACAAGTTTCCTTGCATTGTGATTGGTCATCCAGTCCTTTGCCATTTTCTATTATTAAAAAAAAAAGACTTTTTCCTAATAAACGTTTGAATTATTTTTGAAATTATGCAATATTTGCATTAAAAAAAATCTTTTGCTTAAAAATTTGCATTATAATTTATTAAATACTAGCCGAATGACCCGGGCAACGCCCGGGTTTTACCCGATTAAATGTTTTTATTCAAATACTATTCGTTACAATTATAAATTGGCGCCGTGGATGTCACTCTTGTGAAACGTCCCGCTCCAAAATTTGTGTCTGAGAAGCGATATTTTTATAGAAAGATGATTTGGCTTTTGTTTTCTGCTCGAATGAATGTTTTTCTGTTAGAATTTTGTTCCTGCGTACAAAATAATGAACTGGTTTCACCCGTGGTCTCTGCTTTTTGTAATTTTTCCCGATATAATTTTGTATCTGATAATCAAACATGATACAGCAATATCGTCATCATCATTTTCTGACTAAAAATATATAGTTTTAATAATTGATTTATATATATTTTTAAATAGCCTATCGTCTTCCCCGTATTTTTTTACCTATGTATGGAAATTTTGGTTTGAATTAGTGAACTACTGCGCATTTGTATACCGGACATACAAACCAACAAACAAACAAACAGACAAACATACAAACATTCATTTATATATATATATAGAGATAGAGATATTCTCTTGTAAACATTTTTTCTCTTTATTATTATGTATAATTTTATCAAATGGATACTGAATACTTAATCGGTATATTATAATTTGGCGGTATACAGCCTATGATATATTGAACTTTTTATATAGTCGGTGGATGAGTGGGTAACACCCTCGATTCCCGACAGCCATGAACCAGGATCAAATCCCGCATTGGAGCCTTTGTTTTAATATACGAATAACCTTCACATATTATTCATTGTTGTAAATATCATAAACTACTATTTTTGAGCGGTACCTATTGAAGTGATTTTGGAACGGAAATATCTTTATTTACTGGCTGATAACCAGAATGGATGATTTTCGAGCCCCAATGGACGCATAAAGCGGATATATATACAAACCACTATGACCAGGCTGGGGAGACTGGGGACAGGATCTCCGTCAGGGAAGAGGCAGGTTAGGCCGGGATTTTGGAACAAGAAGAGAGGAAAAAGAAGAAGATTCAAAAACGAGCAAAATCATCAACGGCACATACCCATCTTTCAATTGCTTTCAGTAATGTATAAAAGTATCAGAGGGAAAATAGAGGTAAACCAAGTTCCTTGAGCGCAAATCGCTAACTACCCTGAAAAGTAAATATCACAGCTAGACAGCACATCCTTTAAAGCAGTAAGTATGAAGAATTCATCCTTCAATTGCTTCCAATAATGCAGGAAGGTATCGGAGAGAAAATAAGAGGTAACTCAAGTTTCTTGAACGCAAATCGCTAACAACCCTGGAAAATAAGTATCAAGAGAAAATATCTTTATTTACGGGGCTGCTAACCAAAATGAATGATTTTTGAGCCCCGATGGACGCATAAAGCGGAATATAGATAAAGCACAGTTGGAGGGGCCTGGGGATGGGTGGCCAGGGGATCATCGCCAGGAGAGCCGGGATGTAGAGGAGGATCAGGGGGCAGGGTGGTGATCCGCGGAGTTCAGGAGGTGGCAGAGACTGGTTCAATGGTGTTGAGCCCAGGGGTGACCAATAAGTATCACAGCTAGACACTGCAGTAAGAATTCTGGAAAGTTGTGTCTGGAACATCCCATGTTTGACATTCTAATCTAATCAACCAAGTACAGAGACCTAGATAAGGTGTTATCTTTGTGACATTCTCTTTGAACGCTTTCAGTTGCCTGAATAAATATTTGGTTTACAGTGAACGCTTGTGTGGACCACATAGTTTTATTCTTTTGAGCATGCTCATAGCAAAAAAAAAAAAAAAAGTCGGTGGACAAGTGGGTAACACCCTCGATTCCCGACAGCCATGAACCGGGATTGAATCTTGCGTTAACATTGTTTAATATATATATATATATATATATATATATATATATATATATATATATATATATATATATTTTAATTAAAAAGGCATATATTGGATCAAAATATCATTTATTTTACCAATATTTCAGTTGGCTGAACGCCAGCCTTTATCAAGCTGTTATAACATTTTAGGCGTTATATGGCGCTGAGTTTGTTGTTGACACACTTTAAAATGTTATAACACCTTGATAAAGGTTGGCGCTTAGCCAACTGAAATATTGGTAAAATAAATGATATTTTGATCCAATATATTCCTTTTTAATTAAAGATTTATTTATAGATTGTTCTATTTTTAAAATTGTTTCCGGTTTCAAAATCACTTTATTAGGTACCGCTCAACAAGAGCAACCTAGTTTATGATAATTGAAACAATGAATAATATGTGAAGTTCATATATTAAACAAAATTTTAACGCGGGATTCAATCCCGGTTCATGACTGTCGGGAATCGAGGGTGTTACCTACTCGTCCACCGACTTATTTGTGAAAATTGTTTAATATGTGAATAATTGTTGCAAATATCATAAAATAGGTTTGAGCGGTACCTAATAATATGATTTTGGAACAATTCTCATAGCAAATTATAGTCCTAGTTGAGTAAAAATACCAGGCCTCCAGGGAAAATTATATTTTCAAAAACCTTTTTAATCTCTAACTTTCGGGTACGAACGCTCTTCTACGGGAGAAAACACGGAATGTGTTGCCTAGGATTATTTTAAAGCATTCAACTCACCACTGAATAAGATGAATATTCTATCGGAAAAACTTTCCAGAAGCCACAGCAGCCATATTGTCCGAAGATCATTTGAAAGGATTCAAAACTTACGGCTGATTCAACAGGTGAAGAATGTGGTCACGTGATAATAGGGCGCTCGCTGATTGGTCGCATCTTCTTTAGTTATTTCATCAATTCCTTAATTTTCAAGGGTCGGTTGTACACCCATGATTATTGCTATATATTTTTATATACAGTAGAACTTGGGTAATTCTAACGTTTTTAATTCGAATTTATCTTGATCCCTTGAATTTCCTATAACATTTTTTTAAATATTGTATACATATATTTACATACAATTATTGCATATAATCTAAATATACGGTAAAAAATGTAAATTTACAGCAACTAAAATGTTTTTATTAATAAAGGATTTTGATCGAAAATACGAGGTTTTATTGTTTTAAGCCTTTTATTCAAAACGTTTTTAATTCGAATTTTTTTATGATTCGATTTTTTTTTTGGTCCATCAAATTATCTAAGTTCGATTGTATTTCTAACTATACTGCGCTAAATATTGAGAACCTCGAAGGATAAATGTGAAGAAAGCTCTAATATAAAATATACATATTTGATAAACTCCAAGGCAGAAGATGAGGAATACAAGCACCTACTATGATTTAATCTGATTTGCATAATCCAAAAAAAGTAAAATTGAAGATTCCAAATTTTGAAATTGAAATATACACTAGAGCTATTAGCCATCGCACAATGCAACGAAATACTGAAGAATTGAACCTAAAAAATGGATGAATATAATAGAGTGGAACTAGAGAGAGAGAGAGAATAGAGGTAACCCGGGGTCCTGGAGTCATGGGTAGAGCTGCGGAGAACCTGGTAGTTCCAGACTGAGTCAGGAAGTGTAGGGCTGGATTCTTGTACTCCAAGTACTGTTTGTAGCCTGTGTAGCGCAAAAGCTGGACAGAAGAAGAGGAGGTGGTCTACAGTTTGTGACTCTTCCTGGCAGTGAGGACATGTTGGATCTCTATGCTAGAGATCTGCCAGAGTGGAACTATTTTAAAGCTTCTAAGTTCTATTTCATATTAGGGAGATCAAGCCAGCTAGAAAACAAAGGCTAACAATTAATGTCAAATGTTTGGAAAAGGTATAACTAAATCAACCAGTAAATTATTTAATACCCGACGTTTCAGTGACTAGGGGAATGCTTATTTTGAATCGCCGAATGTCGTGGTCCATTTGGATGAGGAAAGTGAAGACTAAAACACAGCTAATTCCACACTCGCCTTTTCAGTGATACGCTAACCTATGTACGGTGAATTCTGTGGCCACTGGACATGTGTCGGACCTGGAGGCTGTTGGGCTCTGTGCTGCCTGGAATATAGGAGCTCCATCTATGCTTCTTTCCTGTAGTGAATCTGTATAAGATCGGTTTCCACACAAGATGTATGTGTGT